ATGGCGGAGCGGTCATTGGTCCTGGCGTAGTCCACCATTTAGTCTGGCGTGGAGAATAATAAAAGGAAAGCGGCAGGATTTTTACGCGCACGAGACGAGCAGTGTCCGAGGCCATTCCCTAAGCTATAAAGAAATTCACTCAGTAAGTTTAAAAGCACTAGACATCTTCACCTACGCAGGGTGGGTCGAAAGCAGGTGGACACGTTTAATGCCTCCCCTCCATGCTACCATAAGATAAAAACAAGTAGGGCAGGTGGACACATTTAATGCCTCTCCTCCTTACCATCAGATAAAAACTGATTCATCAACCATGCAGGAACATTTGTACTTACACATGCATCCATGCATCTAAGACACGGCTTGGTTTGTGTGCACATTGCTCCCGAGGTGGTCGGTGGTTGGGGTTGTTCGCCATTACTACAGCTACTATACTTGCATCTGCACCCATGCATGCAGAGGCGCCCGTTCCTTGTGGCTTTGTGCTTCGCGTCGCCTGTGGTTCACGCCTGTCGTGACCCGCGTCTCCCCATACTTTTTTCTGGGCTCTTGTTGGAACCTTGTCTTGCAGCCGTATTAGTCATTAATGGTCTCAGACATCGCTAGCCTCGAACGCGCGAAAAAAAATCGGTCGATTCATTTATAGTGATCTCATGCTGGAACATTGGTGGACCACGCCACGACCACTAACCGCTCTGCCTTTATAAGTAGGGTCTAGCTTAGCCGTTGTTACCACCACTCGGTGCACTTTAGCTCGCCTAGCTTTTCCTTTTGATCTAGCTTTTCCCTCAGTCCTTCCTTGCAACCACCGCCAGCGATGGTAGGCCTAGGTTAGTAGTTACTACCTGAACATTGAGGGTTTTCCTAAGATCCTATATGCCACCCAGCAAAAGTTTGGAGTCAAAGATCGTCCCGACTATGAGGGTCGTGGGTATGAAAAGCATGGCACTGAGCGGTGTGAAGTTACCATCTACATTGGGAAGAGTGAAGAGTTCCCTGACATCATTGAAGCCTAGAATGTGACCGCAACTGGGTTTCGCTTCGTCGACACCTACCAGGTTGTGGCCCGCAAAGCCTTGCGGTACCTTTGCCAGATCTATGAACAGGCCATTGCCCGTACCCCTATGAGGTTCTTTCCACCTTTGGAAAAGAATCAACGTGCATGGAGGGCTCGCATGGAGGCTTTGCAAGGGTGGGATGCGCAAGAAGATAGTCCTACCGCAGTGCACTTGACCATGTACTTGCTTGCTCTAGATGAGCAATATGACCGGCAAGCCTTGAAGCTGAGGAAGTGCCTTCGGCAAGCTGAGAAAGCCGAGATCTTCTCTAGGATGCTCCAGGTGCTACTTGCTGAAGCACATGTCAGTGCAGCAGCCACTGAGAGTCGGGTGACTGCCATGTCAGAAGCTCTGAAGGAGGCTGAAGATCGACATGCTCAACAGTTGGGAGAGGCCTACCTTGTCACTAGGGCCAAGCAGAGGACGCTGGCTACTGAACGGCAGGATCCCTTGATCGTGGAGGGGATCCCTGTCCACCCACCAGAAAGAAGGAGAATCGGCATTGCAGTACCGCCAGCACCTCCACCCTTAGAAGTGTCAGAAGTAGAACCCTTGATTCCTCTCACTCAGCCATTGCCAAGAGAGGAGGCAGATCCATAGCCAGGATGATGTACCTGTAATTAGTAGTGTCTTTCGTCGCTATCCACCGGTATTGAAATCTTTCCATTGTATTTCGTCCGTAGTTGTTGAGGTGGTCCGATCGTAGGAAAGGTGAACGATGTGTCCAGAATGGGAGAGTAAGTGCCTGTATGTTGTACCAGCATAAGGACGTTTAGAATATGCATTTTATTTATTTCGCTGTGTTATTGCGTCCATCAACCTTAAGTCTCGTTAGACGTGCTTAGGGTTTTCGAGGGCAATGTTAAGTGGGTTACAAGAGAAATTACCATTCAGATGCGAGAAGACCAGCCGTGATTGGATAACATAGGACCATGTATCGACTAATTATGGATGTTCCAGCAGAACACTTGAATCTCTTTAAATCAGATCCGTTGTTGAATTTGAAGTCCTTGTTCCTTGTTGCGAAAGGAACCCTTATTGTTTGAATCTTCCCTTGCAATACTCCTCTGATTCTGTGGTTTATGACTCCACCGTCTTCGTTGCGTGTAAGTTGGTAGTAGTTGCCTGGTTAATAGCTTATGGTGCCGCGCCGAATCCGAGGGCCCTTGTGGAACAGCTGCCACATGGTGACGGTGCTCGGCACGCGCTGGTATCGAGGTTGTTGACCAAGTACATTTACCAAGTTACACCGCCATACCACTTTTGATACAAATATTCGGGTGTTTGAGTGGAAATCCACAACGGGTTGATGAAATAGTGTTCTCTCAAAGTAAATAAGAGAAGGTGGTTTCAGAGAAAGCATGTATGTTGCGATCTCACTTCATACAAAGGTTGACGCATATTGTGGACAAGGAAGGCAAGGAAAGAAGAACACCTGGAAAAAGTTAGCATTGGATAGTAGGGAGTGCTTAGAAAAGCCTGAGTGGATGTCAAGTCCCAAGCACTGTGCCACTGCTTAGAAAAGTCGATAACGATCGGGAATCGGTAATCCAAATCAGGAACGTCGACGCACATAACCACTTCAACCATTCAACTTAACACCAAGGTTACAACCATGTATAATATAGGCAAATTGTACCGTTGGTAAATATATAACACTACAAATAAGTCCAACAAAGAGTTCAACGAGTTCAACTTATCATTTAGCAAAGCGCACATGCATACTTCAGCTTATCTACGAGTTCAACGAAAAAGCAGAAGTGGCTGGTTGCATCCATCACATCCAATAGGGATTCTTGCAGCGTCAAATCATTTAGCATATGTTGTAGGCACAGGCGAACAGCAAAAAAAATAAAAAAAAGGAAAATGCACATGCATACGCAGGGCCTTAGCGGTGTGCGCAGCGTGCTCAACAGGCAGGCGCTCAGGTCGCTTTACCTTGGTAACGGCCCATTACGCCCAAATACAAGCACAGCAAATAATCACCACTACTACCGAGTACACCAGTGCACATCAAGTTTAATACCACCTCGGAGCCACCGGGAGGGGGCGCTTTTTAATAATTGGACTCCCGGCCTCCAGAGAGCCACAGGAGCGCTCCTTGGTCTGTGACACGAGCTGAAGTAATAATACAAAATAAAATTTATATGGGAATTAAACGGGAAAAACGGGAATTTTCCCGTTAAAAAACAGGATCCATGAATTTGGTCGGGAAACAAGCTCAACCGATTCTGTTCCTGGTTCCAGCCAAATTTCCCTGTTTTTTGCCAGATTTATTCGGTTACCGACAAGTATCCGGTCGGGATAATACGGCATTCGGCGTCAGTCGGGACGGGAAATTCCCGTCCTGTCGAGCGAGCGCGTTTTTTGTTGGATTTATTCGGTTACCGACAAGTATCCGGTCAGGATAATACGGCATTCGGCGGCCGGGCCGGGACGGAAATACCCGCCCCGCCGGGCGAAGGCGGGGCATAGCGGGTCATCATGGCCGTTGATGCACTTCTGATGCGATCGGCGGCGTGCGTGCGAGGCGGTGTCGCGCTACTACGCCAGTGACCGGAGCGAGCATATGGAGCCGGGGGCGTGCTGAAGTCGGCATGCGTCGACCGCCGCCGGATATGGAGAAGACAGAGAGGGAGGAAGACGGTGGGGAAGACTGACAAGTAGGGCCATGTGTCAGTGAGTGTGAGAGAAGAATAAGGAGGCAATCTTGTCCATACGGTACCCCTTTATACGGCTGAAAGTGGGTCTAAGTCATCTCCAAACGTATATAATGGTGTATCTCAAATATCTGTAGAGTTGCAATGGCAGTGGCATAGTTTCTTAAATAGTAATGATGTGCTTCAAAAACGGCGAAGTTATAATAGCACAGATCCAATTAACCTTATAACTAGCAAATATGCCCGTGCGTTGTAACGGCAGAAAAAAAACTACATTAACCAAAAATAACGGCACGTGTGTTACATTTTTAAACTATATTTTATGATGGATTCATAACATACATTAACATTGGTAATAATATGATAATGTCTGTTAAGTTTATATCGAATTAAAATTAAATCTCGATAGATTTACTCCACCGGCGACTAGAGCCCATAAGCAAATCGCACGGCCACCTCCACCGCTCTGTGCGGCCGCGCACGCGCAAGCCTCGCTCTTGGCATCGCTATTCCGAGCACCGATCTCGGCTCCTCCTGCGCCTCCGCTTCGGCCTCTTCTACATCGGCCTTTACTACTCTGTGTTTTCACGCCTCACGACGCCGTCGCTCGGCCTCGTTTCTGCACCGTCGGCTGGCTTTAGCTTCTCCCCGTGCAGCACCGCCGTCCTCGTTTCGTTCGGTGCAAATCGGACCGGGGCGCGCGATAGACTTACGCGGTACACGATAAAGGAAGATGTGGTTCTCTCCATGATAACAGCTTTCTGGTCCTCACATGTCGATTCCTAGCCATTACTATTGCTCACAAACATTTGCAGGACTTGTTAGAAACCAAACCAGGAGCAACGGGTGTCTAATTTAGCATGCATTTTAAGTTTGCAATATTGTGGTTTTGTTTAGGCCCAGTACATGTTCGGCATAGTACCTCTTTATTTTCTTCCCTTGCCTCCTTCTTAGCGAGGGCACTCGCAGGAGCCGCTCTTCTCCTCCAGCGTGTATCCAATAGCCGCTGTTTGATTTCGGATCAGGATTTTTTGATCGGGCGGTTCTTTGATTGGGCGGTGGGTTATCTGGGACTTTTTTTTACCGGGAAGGTGGGTTATCGGGGGACGGGATTAGCGGTCAATATGGGGTATTAGCGAGCGGGGGGGCATTAGGGAGCGGTGACGATGATCTCTAGGTCTTTTTAGTTGTAGATAGATAGATAGATAGATACCGATATCTTCAACCCAGGGCCGAACCTCTGGGCTCTAGCCAATTCGGGAGAGAGGATACGAAGGCGAAGCAGATGCAACACCTCTCGCGGTCGACCCTAGGGTTCATTGGTTCTGCTCAAACTCTCTGGTGGTTTCCAGCTCTCGCGCAACGAGATTCTGCGGCAGCATCGACCATTCTAAATCAGCATCTGGAGCACGTTTTTAGGTCTGTTGTTGTCTCCTCTCCTTTCGTACATCTGAGTCATCCTGAGTGCCATGTCATGAATTTTTCGATCTGGATCTCTCATGCTTTTGATTTAGGGTTTCCTTTGATATATTCTTTCCGTAAGATTGCTTTTTATCTGTTGATCTTTTATCTTTAATTAGAAAGGAACACGAAATAATTTTATTGCCAACAACGTCAAATCAAACCTATAAACGGAAGATGAACTTAGATCTCGATTTGATGGTTACTAATATCAATTTTATATATGTTCGAATCATAACAGAATTTTGAAAGTAATTTCAATTTTAGTTTTTTGTTATAATTTACTTTATCTATTTTAGATCTGATGGGTCATATAGTGGTGGTGTTTGAGTCTGGATTCTAAGACCTTTCATGTTCTTGCGTGTTAGATTGCCCTTGTGTGGACCATGGAGCATTTTTGGAGTAAAAAGTGAGAACCTGAGTAAGCGGTGCTACACAACCTTGAAGGTCAAACCTAGCTATTACATGGAAGAATTGCAGATAGCTATCAAGGATGCTACACAGAGAAATATGGTGGGCACAGGTACTGAGGATGCTACAGAGAGCCCTCCGATCGGGGCAACCATTAAGGATGTTATAAAGGGCAGTAAAACTGCTATTGATGGTATATGTCCTGCAACAATTCATCCGAACAGTAGCCATCGTGATGGCACTATATACAAGAAAAGGCTTTACTGGAAAAGTGACTATAATATTGATATCACTGACCGTGATGAAAGTAAGTGATTAAGATATCTTTTTCCTATATTTATTTATTTTGTTACTAGGGCATTTGCCAAGATTATGTGATCAATTAGTGTATTTTCTACAAATCTTGAGTTTAGCTTTGCATTGTTTTCATTATCTCTACTATATATATTATAAAAAAGAATATTGTTTTGTCCCTCTATGCACTGTGCTTTTGACATATGAGTCCTTCCATTCTGTGACCTCTGCCAGCAGAGGTTTCGTGTGATACAGAAGTGTGTCCTGTATGTAGTTAAGCTACAACATGCTGAAGTTGGCAAAAAGGAGAAGGGAAAGGAGAACGGCTAAATAAAAGGAAATGTGTGGAGGATGAATCAAATCAAAATTCATCTTGAGAGTTGAGTCAACTTTGGTTGGAGGCAATCTCTTGCTGCATGGAGAAACCGGAGCCAAAAATAGTGGCTTGCCAGCTCCTGGTTTATTTTTAGAAGGCTCCTTCCTACATTGCATGGAGGAGTTCGAGCCGGAGTCGGCTAGAGCTCTACCAAATGGGGCCTGAAATAAGAAATGCTTCCCACCTTAGACATAGCCAGCCATACTTCCCACCTTGGTCCTGTGCCAGCAGCCCTCTTTGTCACTGCTGCCATGGCTGTTGGGCTGCCACCATTGGTCTCACCTAACCCACCTGAATCTCGTCCATAGCACCTAATTTGTGGACCAAAGATATAGTTTACTTAATATTTTCATTTACCTACTGTAATAACTAGTTATTATAACATTATTTGTTATCGTTGGTGAAGCTCGGGTGGAGCCAATGAGGTTTGCAGCGACCACAAATTGCCTTCCTGATCCGGACAATTGCTACTACCATGTGCCATGTCAAATGATGCAGATTTTCTCACTGAAGTTGGCTAAAGCTTCTATAAACAGTGGGTTGATACAGTTATATGGATACATAGCAGCACGAGATGATGTTGATTCAAAGCTTAATTATGTTTTCAATCGAAGCAGAGATGATCATATCATCGTGCAGCAGGTACAAATCTATACTTGTGTGCAATAGTTGTAAAGTACATGCATGAAAGAGACGAGTTTGAAACCTGCATACTTCTGATGGCATACTACAACCAGTTAATCTCATCTAAATTATAGATAATGGGTGCTGATATAGGTCCCCTCTATTTTGGTTTACTGGAGTTATTACTTAAAATATACACATAAAGGCTTAATTTATTGTTTTGTGTTAGATAGCTTATGTTACATGAGTATCTGCCTATTTATATGAAATTATGTAGAAAACCTTGCAGCCGTGGGACAAGAATCTCAATCCCTTTACGATGCTGCAAAATGGTACAAGAGCTTATTGCATATCTTGCACGAGTATTACAGGGACCATGTGTCCCAAATTCTTTTGCCAAGCCGACATGCACAACGTGGTGCAACACACCAAACTCATGCTGGGAGCAAGTGGCTAACTAGGATTAAGAGATTAAACAGAGTAGGCGGCTAGCATTAGGAAGGTAGATGGTGACTGGCAGCATGGAATGCATTGGTCAAGAACATTGTGGGAGGAGAAAGATTGGTGGCAGCCTCCCCTGCTGCTGCATGCGTAAGCATCATGTCCTCTATTTTGGCTTGATGGCCAGTAACCAGCACATGGAAACCATCATGTTCTCTATTTTCTTTCATTTCTTTCATCTTGTGCTGGATCTACATTCAATGATAGTATTTCAATAGACTAGCTGTTGTACAGCCCATTAGTAGGCTGGTCTGTGCCAACAAACTTATTTTTTTTAATTTTAAAATTAAAAATAATATACATTAGATGAATCCCTGAATCATTCTAGAGTTTGCTGATTTGAAGAGCAGCACCCTAGTCTGACAACATCCACCCTTGTGCCCGAGTAGCCACATACCAGAGACCAAATTTGTGGACAATTTTTTATTCTCTGTGGCTGAATCCCCAATATCCATAATCTGGTTGCTAAAATTAAAGATCTACTACCTTTACAAGATCCCTGACTTAAAGAAAACGTCCAGGATTATGGTGCTGTACGTTTACAACCCCTACAATTCACATCTTGAAAAAGGTAACAGTCTGTGTTGCCTACTGCAACTTGCTTGGGACAACTGCTTAGTTTTTCAATGGTGCCATGGTGGCTTGCGGTGCAGATTTTTAACAGGTCTATGGGAATTCCAGCATGTTATTTTATAACTTCACTGCACGAAAGAAACCCCCATACTTGCAAAATAGAAACTTCTATCCAGATGAAAAAGTACATTCACATCTTTGTTTGTTGTTTATAATGATATATACTAGCATCTAGAATCCAGATGCAAAAGAGAGATTTTTGGTAATGAGGCTTGATTCAAGTAATGGCCCTGATTGGTTTGAAGCTGGTTGCATAGGTGCTGCATAACAAATAAGGAGGCAATCATCAAAGAGAAACTAGGGAGTAGGGAGACAATCACTGAAATGGAAATCCACATGTTTTCTGCTGTCTGAGATAATCACAGAGATGTTTGTGTTCCTGCTCCAATAAAAATACCTATATGTATAAAAAGCTTCTAATACTCCCAAGTATAGTAAACATGGAACAGAATAGTTACGTAGTCTTTCTAAATCAGGAAAGGCCAGATTATCAAATAGCCAATAAACATGGGATATGCGAATATGCGTTGTTCTTTACAATCATGTTACTCCTCTTTGCAAGGCTAGAGAATCTGCATAGAGAATGTGTGCCGAACTCCTGAAGCAACTTATCTCTTGTAGAGAAGCTTATCATTTGGCTAAAATATTCCTGCATGCATTGTCTTCATTACCCAAATAGGAAGGATTCCTGTGTTCACAAGGACTGGATTTTCCATACACTGATCACGCACTCTGATCAGAAATCTAGTCTCTAGTACTATCCACTAGCTTTGATGAGCACCTAAAATCCTGGATTCTGAATTGTGTTTTTCACTGATAGACTAAGTGTCCATAGCTGTCTCTGATGTTTGAAATATGCTCTAGCTGCTGTCGCCTGGGATGGCAAAGGGTAAAAATATAAGAAATACATATGAAGGCAACTTATACTTTTTTTTTAGTTAAATGCACCAGCGGCCCCTAAACGTGTATGTTTGTGCCACTTAGGTCCATTAACTTTCAAATTGCATTTTGAGCCACTTACTTTATTTACTGGTGCAACCAAGGTCCATCCCCCCTTCAGGAGCCTTGGAAATACACACTTAGCCGGCCGTGATCCTCTCTCCCAAATCTTCTCTCCCCTCACCTGCTCCTCCAGGCTCTCCCTTACCGTCCTCCTTGACGGCGCCGGCCCCCTTCTGCCTGGTGCTCCCCACCCCTGGCTGCAGCTTCTCCTGCACTTCCTATTCCCGGTGCCCTCTCCCTTCCCGATGTCATCCTCAGCGGGGCGCGGAGTGGCAGCAGCAGCGTGGGCTGGGCGGGCACTGGCCACACACCCTGGCCGGGCTGGCAGCTGGGCCCTTGTCACCTAGACAGGCTGGCAGCAGCTGGCCGTGTGCTGTATTAAAGAAAAAGGGCTTTCCCCACATCTGTTAGATCAACCCTATGACAGGAGAAGCCCTTGATCAATATGACCCGAGCATCTTGTTGCACATTTGAATCTATCTTATCTCCTGTGTTGCCCTCTGTACTTTATAATAGCCAGTATCTTATCTGAGCTGATTTCATGGATTTAGTTATGCAAATACTTGAGAATAGGAGGGTTTTATACAGATCTAGGTCATATATGGATATGTTATGCATGTGCCTGGTACCATAGTTCTATATGGTTGTTGATATGTTCATATATGTTATGCATGTGACGGGTTGCAATAATTCTATATGGTTGTTGGTATGTTTAAATTTCGTATGTGGTACACAAATATGTTGTTAATTAACTTGCATATTGTATTTTGTACTGTTACTATGTTTTGTTTGGCAAACTATTTGAGTTTTACATATGTAACTAAAATTATTTTGCTTTTTAAAGTTGAAATTCAGTGCCATTATTTTAGATATGGTGGCACCACTGATGTTGGAATCTCAGTTTTGATGTATGATTTTACAGCTTTATGACATAGATTAATGGTATTGGGTTATATGATTTTAGTCCATAGAATCTAAATGTATATGATTTTAATGGTTCTTATTCCTATGATTGCAATTTTAATCAACATACATCCAATCTGATGTAGAATTAGGGATTGTGGCAACTTTGGTTGGTACATGCTAAAAAGGAAGATATTTCATTAATTTTACAGGGTTCCCTCATCGAAATGACTGGCCCTAAGAGAGGCGTCGCACTGAATTGTGATGTTCTGTTTGAGTTTGACATGAGAATCAAGAATGGGGAGCAAGAGGAAAATGATCTCCAGCTAATTGACGGAGTAACAGAATTTTATGAAATTAGCATGCCGTGTAAACCATTCACTATTCGCATTAATGGTGATGCTGGCGCAGTGGACATGTCTTTAACAAATGTTTATGGAGTTGAGGCTACAGTAGAAATCTTCATATCCGAAGTGGAAAATGGTTTTGATTTATCTATCTGCTGTGTTGTTTCGGTACTGGAGGAACATAAAGAATTTCAGCTTTTTGGTGCTCCTATTGGTGAATCGTGTGGCTTAAGAAGGTTTGTGATTGCTGTCGAGATGGATACTATGATGCATTTGAAGTTCAAGGTACACCAACACGGCTCAAATGTTGAACATTGCTGTTCCTTTGAAGCTAAGCTGCATGGATGTGCCAGCCATGACATAAAGCTTGAGGTCGCTTCTCTCTCAGTGAAGGTGACTTGGTCGGCGTTAATTGAATAAATTCCTTTCTTGTAGTATTTAGTTTTAAGCTGTTTTATGTTCTCTCGCACTGGATGGATGTGCGTGATCACATATTGCTTTTGTACTGGATTTACATATGCTTTAACCTACCTTTACTATATATGGTTATTAAAGCACCAGCTATTGATTTGGGTGACATGTTAATCCAACTTTTTCTTCAACAGCTACTGAAAACACACACCGAACATACATCCTTAGATATACCTCACCTCATATTACAGGACTAGAGCGCACACTTATTTCTTGCTTGGTCCTACGGAAATTCGAGGGCGTGCACTTATTGCTTGAGTCGTACGTTGTCGAACTTATCTCAGAGAGCAGAATACTGCAATGCCGAGTCGTACGGAAATAGTCGAACCTGCTCTCTCCGTCCAAGAAGAACGTAAATCCTACTTTACGAGCAGTCAAAGGCTGTAGGGTGATGAAAATATGGGCAGAGCTGGGTATTTCTACACACCGAGATCACTTAGCTGGTGTTGCGGGTATTTCTACACACCAAGATCACTTAGCTGGTGTTGCTTCAGCCCGGGAAGCTGTCAGATACATCCTGGAATTACCAAAAATCCCTCAGCTGACGTTGGTGATTGGTATGTGGACGTGGTGGTCGGAGCGAAATAGGATCAGGGAAGAAGGCAAACGGCGACAGGACCATGTCATCGTCAAGCTGATAGAGGACTACTTGGGTGAACTTGCTCAGCTGTCTGCAAAGACTGCTAGAACAATGCCGAGAACAATTCAGAGATGGCAGAAACCAGCGCCTAATTTCCTAAAGAATCAATTGTGATGCATCTTTTCGTAAAGAAACTGGAAAGGGCGCCTGGGGCTTTATAATTCGAGATGAAGATGGTGATATGATCATAGCCGGAAGGGGTCGACTGTCTCATGTTCTGGATCCGTTCCAGGCTGAAGTAGTGGCATGTTTACAAGGGCTACAGGCAGCGATTGATTTGGGTATAACCAGAGTCCATCTGGAAACTGATGCCTTGCAAGTCCAGCAAGCAGTAGAGTCACAGCGCTGGGACCTTTCCATGGCCGGAGGTCTGATAAGCGAAATCAAGGAGCTAGCGTACCTGAATTGTGTTGAGTTTGTTATCAAGGCAGTTCCTCGCTCATGTAACAGGGTGGCGCATGAATTAGCTGCACTAGGGTGTGTGTTCTGTGGATGATGATCCTATCATGACTCATCTCCCAGCTTGTATTCTGAACATTGTTGCTGCTGAATGCGCAGACCCTGAGTAATGGAATCGCAATTCCGTTTCAAAAAAAAAAAAAGATTCTTAAGTTTTACTAAATTTATAGATGATATTTTCTACATTTTTATCTCCAATTAGATTTATTATGAAAATACTCCCTCCGTCTTTTTTTATCGTCGTTATTGCTTCATGAGAAGTCAAACATTCTTAACTTTGACCAAATATGTTTAAGAAAATATATAAAAAATATTAATATTTATGGTACATAATTAGTATCATTGATAGATCATTAACTATATCTTTATAATAAACTTATTTAGAGATACAAGTGTTACTAATATTTTATACAAACCTAGTCAAACTTAAAAATATTTGACTGACATGACTATCGTAGCGACAGATAATAAGGGATAGATAATAAGACACACCTGGTAACATTAACATTGGTAATAATATGATAATGTCTGTTAAGTTTATATCGAATTAAAATTAAATCTTGATAGATTTACTCCACGGGCGACTAGAGCCCATAAGCAAATCGCACGGCCACCTCCACCGCTCTGTGCGGCCGCGCACGCGCAAGCCTCGCTCTTGGCATCGCTATTCCGAGCACCGATCTCGGCTCCTCCTGCGCCTCCGCTTCGGCCTCTTCTACATCGGCCTTTACTACTCTGTGTTTTCACGCCTCACGACGCCGTCGCTCGGCCTCGTTTCTGCACCATCGGCTGGCTTTAGCTTCTCCCCGTGCAGCACCGCCGTCCTCATTTCGTTCGGTGCAAATCGGACCGTGGCGCGCGATAGACTTACGCATGCGAGAGGGCGAGAGGGAGCTGCGGCACACGATAAAGGAAGATGTGGTTCTCTCCATGATAACAGCTTTCTGGTCCTCACATGTCGATTCCTAGCCATTACTATTGCTCACAAAAATTTGCAGGACTTGTTAGAAACGAAACCAGGAGCAACGGGTGTCTAATTTAGCATGCATTTTAAGTTTGCAATATTGTGGTTTTGTTTAGGCCCAGTACATGTTCGGCATAGTACCTCTTTATTTTCTTCCCTTGCCTCCTTCTTAGCGAGGGCACTCGCAGGAGCCGCTCTTCTCCTCCAGCGTGTATCCAATAGCCGCTGTTTGATTTCGGATCAGGATTTTTTGATCGGGCGGTTCTTTGATTGGGCGGTGGGTTATCTGGGACTTTTTTTTATCGGGCGGTGGGTTATCGGGGGACGGGATTAGCGGTCAATACGGGGTATTAGCGAGGGGGGGGGGGCATTAAGGAGCGGTGACGATGATCTCTGGGTCTTTTTAGCTGTAGATAGATAGAGATAGAAGATACAAGATATACCTCAGACTAGAAGCTATTTCGAGAGCCTCAGTCATCCCTTCGGCCCCTTTTACCGATATCTTCAACCCAGGGCCGAACCTCTAGGCTCTAGCCAATTCGGGAAGTCATGATATTTTCAAGATAGTGTGACACACACTTGGGCCAAGCTTAAGGATAAAAGGGAAAACAAATAATAAAAGAATGTTCCTAAGTGGAACAGGCATGTCTAATATAGCCATGCAAAGAACAGATGATGATCATACATATACATGACTAGAAGTTAGAACTAGGCATGAGTTGGGTCAGGAGGCCATCGAGTACTGGTCTACTAGCAACCTCATGTGACAATTTAGACTCCTACATCCCAGAGGAATGTGGGGGATTGCAAGGGACGGACAGGGCTGTCACCACCTGCCACCTGCCACCTACCCCTCAACCGGAGAAAGGGAAATGCATCCGCCTGTTCCCTTGCACCTGGGCACCACGCCCGCTTATAAGAAAACTACCCACACCCCCCTAGGACTTTGACCCTACAAATCAACAAGCATAGGACATGGGCATACTCGAAGGCATGATGAACCGCCACCTTAATTAGCTCTAATTCTCATCATATATATAGCATGAAAGATTAAGCATAAGATTCTATACGATGAAATCATAGCATAGAAACTATAGTCTAGTTCATACGATATGATCATGCCAAAAGAACATGTTAAGATTATAACACACAAACTATATGCTAGTTCATATGTTAAGATTATAACATAAAAACTATACTCTAGTTCTATGGCACAACTATATATATGAAATGAGAGCATGACTTTGGAAGAAACCATATTTGTATTCATACCAACGATCCTTTCTTCCAAGGAGCCAAGCCCTCCTTGATAGCCTAGCCTAGCTCCAAAATACTACACTACTACTACTAAGCTAGAGAGTGAGGAGTGGAGAGGTGGAGGTGAACCCAAATGGTGTGTGTGGAGTGAGACACCCTCTCTCTCTCTCTCTCTCTCTCTCTCTTTATATAGGGGCTTGGCCTGGTCGGTTGGGGGGAATATTCCCCAAATACACCTCCGCACCGCCATCCCCTATTGATGATTGAATCACCAGCGTGAGGTGGGCCGAGGCGGTAGAGGAGAGGGCGTGGACGTGTCCCTAGCATGCCCACACCTAGGGTGGCCTGGCCCGTCCTCTCCTTCGCGTTGTGGGCTGCAAGCTGGGTATGGGCCTCAATGCTATGGTGGGTTGGCCCATGTTTTGTTCTCTGGTTGGGCTTCTTTCCCCTCTTTGCTTTTGTGCTTTCCCGAATGGCGCATTTTTGGTTCTTTCCAGTTCCATCTGACAAAAATTCCTATAGAGTGACACTTCTTTCGATACAAGTGGAATTTGGTTAGTAGCAAAGGTATATGTTTGTAGAACATGTAATTCTTTCCTTTTGGACTTATATTGGCGGTATAAATGTGTCGATAAGGACCGCCAACACGTGCATGCGATCATGAACATGTCATGCTAGAATCTTATTATCCAATGCCTTCCTCGGCAACAGCGCCCGAAATGCTTGTTGGCATTTCTTAACACGATTGCTAAGAATGGAGGTATTAAGTCCATCCTTAGTAATTATATCAAGAAATGCTTGCTAGAATTCCCTAGCATCGCTGCTAGAATTAGTTTATCCTAGCAACAATACTAAGGAATGTCAGCTAATAGGTCATAATGTTTATAGATGTTATCCACAAGTGCACGGATCTATCATTGTAGCATTTCGCCCGAAAGTATTCTCTGGGTATCGTTATTTATATTTTTCCCAAAAAAAGGCATGGTAACAAGAGTTGTGACATGGATATGATCAAGATAAGCACACGTGCATTACTAATCATATGATTACACAGGGGTAGCAATTGTAGTATAGATAGTGGACACACACATACACACCTGACACCTCACTCGGGGGAAAAGGAAGAATGAATAAAGAATAAAGAATGACCTAACAGGAGTAGATGTATCTTAATATAGTTATGTGCTATGAACATAGTAATCATACATATACATGAGCTAGAACTAGACCTATGTGAGATGGATCAGGAGGCCACCGAGTACTAGTCTGCCAGCAACCTCATGTGACAAATTACGTACTCCTACATCATGGCTGAACGTTAGGGATTACAAAGGATGGACAGGGCTGTCACCACCTGCCGCCTACCCCTCAACTGTGGGACATGAAATGCATTCACCCACCACTATTATCCGGGCACCTCGCCCGCATACATAGTGACCACCCAAATCCCTCGTGGTCCCCGACCCTATGGATCAACAGGTAAAGGACTTGGGCATATCCGAAAGCATGATGAACCACCACCCCAACATAAATCTATTCCTATTCATGATCATGGTATGAACTATAAAGTGCTGAGCCAAGTATGATATGAACATGACATAAGGACATATTCTAGTTCATATATCACGA